GAGCTCTGAACAGATGTCGGTCAATAGGAATGTCCAAAAGATAAGCAATGTTGCCATATAACTGATGAAATAGCTGCTTATCTGATGCTTCCCACCTTTCCTATATTTCTCTCAACTTACCCCAGGTTATTTTGGCGAACGTTAATATGTGTATATTTAACCAAATCTGACATATATCAAGGTGATAGACTATTTCCCTTGATAAGTTGAGACTGTTCAGACCATCTTAAAATAACTGCATTGTCTTCTACTTCATATTGAACTCTTTGTTCCATATTTCCAGCTCTTTATATGAAATCAGTCATGAATCAACACCATGATATGAAAATGCAAAATTCATAAATGAAAATGAAGCATAAAATTAATCCAAAATAATTAAACCCAAATTTCATGCAATCTAGTTCCATGCTTTTATTTAAAACAACAAACCTAACCACATGATTTCTAGTTCGCATGCGTTTATTCAAAAAATAAATAAAATAAAAAGACTCAATCGGGTTAATCGGGTTAGGTTCCGCCTGAACTTAAGTTCTAAGATTTACTATATGTTGGGTTTTGGCTCTAAAGTAAGAGGGTCAACGAATTATCCTTTGTTGGTGTCCCCTTGGACTGCCAAGCCCTCAATCCTAGTCCATTACATACTTTTGGATTAAGTTCAATTCGAAGGAACACACTTTCTTATGTCCATACGGAGGTGAAAACCACACGATGGAGTAGTTTCTCATTCACTTAAATAGGATAAGAGAGGGGTTTTATCTCATATCATGAATGTAGTGCATAGTATGTGAGGAAAATCATAAAAATAATACACAGCCTATTATCCTATTCTGATAACCCAAAATTAAATATGTACACATAGAAAAACAAAAGTTAGTAAAATGATAAAAATAATTAAAAATTAAAAACAAATTTATTATTTACTGCAAAGATAAATAATTAATAAATTGGTGGTTGGACTCTCATTTTTTTAAAAAAACAAAGATCCCCAACAAAGTCGCCAAGCTTTCGAGACGTTTCTCTGCCCTGACGACGGAGAGTGCAAATAGTACACCCCGAACAATGTAACTAGTCTTGAAAAAGTAAGTGCTTATCCTCCATGAATCAGATAAAACACCAAATTTTAGAGTCGCCACCAATCTTTTAATTCGGTAAGATTAGGCACCAAAATGTCATATTATTTTAATAAAAATTCCTAAGAATAATATTAAAATAATACAACTTGAGTCTGCTTACTAGAAAAAATGAGTTTGGGAGTCAGTTACATATGGGGAAGGATTAGCACCCCCAGAACGCCCAAAATTGGTATTGGTATTTATTAATTAAATGTCTTTGCAGTAAATGATAAACTTATATTTAATTTAATTTACAAATAATTTAATTTAGATAATTACTAAATAATATTTAACATAAATATTAATAGTCTTATTATAATATTCAATATTAAAATTATATTAGAAAGTTATAAAACATACTAATATTATAACTAATAATATAATAATAGGTAATATTTAAAATGGAAAATTTTAAAATTAATTAACATGGTCTAAACTATTATTAAAGTTATGTACTACTAATGTAATTTACCCTAAATTATTAGAAAGGTTGAAATGTAAATTATTAAAATATTAATGATTATACCTGATATTTATCCTAAAGTATATATATATGCAGTCAAAACATAAATAAAAAAATAAAAGACAATTAAAATATATGAAACATGATTTAAATGACTAAATTGTAAGGTTACAAAATTACAGGGACCACGGACTCAATTTTCCCACACCCGAATTACACGCAGGTCTCTCCCCAAAACGATACTGTTTGGGGAGGGGTATAAATAGGCCTTATTAGGCCTGAAGAGGTTTCAAACCTCATTTCCCTCATTCTGCTTCTCTCTCTTTAGAGAGAGAAGCTCTCGCTTCTCACTAGAATTCCCTCACCGGAGGGAATTCGACCCTAGCCGATAGTCGATCGCCGCCATCATCTGCCACCGCTGGCCACCATCCACGGTGGTTGGATATCAACAAAATACACCAAATTACTCTCTCTTTTCTCCTAAACACGAATAAAGTATCCTTTTTCCCCAAAACACCCTAAATAGCAATAAATCTAAGGAAATATATCTTCGAAGTTTGACTTTTCAGGCCGCACGTGGAGGCGCGTGAATGCTCCGATGGTGGTAAGACTTCCTTCAGTGTATTCTCTCAATATTTTACTGGTTTGGGTGCTTGCTTTCTTGCTTGTTTGTTGCTCTTGTTCTTTGCAGATGTATCTCTATTTATAGGGGTGGTGAGCTGTACGGTGGAGAGATTGGGTGCATTAAATGCACCCATATCTTGTAGATCCGACGAGGACATGGCTACTGCTGGTTGGATCTTTCGGCGACGATGATATCATCATCTCTATGGCGGCGCCGGAATAGTCCTAGGGTTACAATGAGTACCCTAGGGTTTGGCTAGTTCGCTTATGGTCGTTGATTTGTCTATAGATCAAGCAGTTGTGATTCATGCGGCGTTGGAGATGATGGGGAAACCCTAGCTGCTGATGGGTCTTCTCGTGGGCCTACTGGGCTGTTTGGGTCAAGTCTGGTTCTGTACCGAGCCTGCTGGAGCTACTTGGATTGAATCTGGTTATAACATGGGTTTAGGGTTATACTTGTAATTGGGCCTCGAGTTGTAATCGAGTCTCCGGGCTTAATGCATTCGGGCCTGTAAAATTGTAAGAATTAATTATAATAAAAAAACGTAATGATAATATATAATAATATAATTATATTGAAATCGTATTCGGACGAAAACTACTGTCGACACAAAGGATGAAGGATGGTCATGTGCATCATCTTGAGCGTGCATGGATTCTCCTCTAAGCTTGCTTAAGTGTATAGCTAGTTAGCAAGAAAGAGGTTAGTTGTGAATGAACTTCCTAAACGAGACCTCCTTGTCTCCTTAGCAACTCTCCTAGCTACCTTTAGTTGTCCATTTGGTCACTTTCAGTAACCTAGCTTCATTTAGTCTACCTAGCTGAATTTAGCTAGCCTTTAGCTCCTCCAGCTGAATTGAGCATTTCATTGTCTTCCACGAGCTGCCATGGAGATTGTGAGCTGCCATAGACTGCCAAATACTCCCTCAAGCTACCCTAATGTGTGTCATGCTTTCATGTACCTATATGTGCAAAGAAAACAAGGTAAATCAAAGGAAATGAGCTGGAATGAATGAAATATCTTGTTGTCGTGCATGTTTGTGGACTTATGAGCTAAGAACTATATGATATACTATATGTGAGCTAATGTATATGACTTGTGAGCTGAAATAAATTGAAATTAGCTAGAAAATGAAGGATTAACATGCTGCCAATATATGAATGAAATGAAATCAATCTAAATGTTTGCAAAACAAATGAAATCAATAATATGTTAATTAAAGATGTGTAAACAATAATATGCATCAACAATAATAATTAATTCATAGATATTTCATATGAATGAATATGAATTATCAAAGTATGTTTATATTTAAGAACAACATGTATATATATATGATATAGATATCAAAGTAACTATGTAATATAATAAAGTAAAAGAATGATAGGAAAACTCCCTGTGATTCAATGTGTGGATGTTTTAAGAAATTAAGTGGGAGCCTGGTCATGCATGTATCACTCTTGCTCCGTTGATTGTCCATCTACTCTAAATTCTCTTTCCAACCACGTCATTCGTATTCGCATCCCATCAATGACATCATTTGGAACCTATTTTCACAATAAATCAGAAATAATTGTATCTCGCGCATAATTGTTGCAAAGCACCAATGACATACCATTAATCGGAACTCCAAGTTGATACACAACACCTTCCAATGTTATCGTCACTTCACCACAAGATCTAGGATAATACCTTTCAAAATCTTGGAAATCCGGTGACTCTTAGGCTTCCCAGAGTGCTTCGACAAGGTAAGAAACTTCCCTCTTTTCTTCTTTCTCATTTTTTTATTTTCCTTCGAATCCTTTTTTCTCTTTTTTTTTGTATCCGGTTCTCCCTCTCTTCGAACCAACCCCCAAAATGGTCTTCTCCTCCCTTTTTTATGTTTGTATGTGTGATTTTCCTTGGTTTACTTGCTACCGAAAAGGAATAGGGTATGAGTGCCCTATTTTGAGTTGATAGACTCGGATTTGATTTCATTTTGTCTTTATGCGAGTAAAAAATTATTTAGAATTTTTTTATTATTTTTCTTGGCCTCCAAGTGGTCTGACTGATGTGTTGATGGTAGGTTGAAACGACGGCGGTGGCAGGAGCAGACGGCGACAGTCGGAGGTGCAGCAAGAGGAGCAGTGACGGTAACGACGGTTGGATCAAGGGTGGATCCAACGACTGGTAGCATCTGGCAACTGGGTGATAATATGGAAACCCTAGTTGTGTTTGGGTTGGCAAGTTAGGCCGATTGTTGGGTTGTTGCCCCGATTGTGTTGGGCTTGCATTTTTGGACCTGTAAAGTAATAAAAAAATAAAAAAATAAATATTATTAATTATTTAATGTTTAATTTATATACTATAATAATAAAATAAAATAAAAAAACCCGGATAAAAACGAGTGTCTACATAGATAATATAAAGACTAATCCAAACTCCATTTGTTTAAGTAAAATACAGTTTTAAACTATATTCCATCAGGAACTCATTTATTCGATCTCATATATAAAATGCAAAAGCTTACTGGGGTTTTACTCATTGACATAACTAAACAATGCATATTGAGGGAATTTTTGATGTAAGAAAGTGACAAGAGTCCTAAAAGAGTGGGAAGAGTTTAATGCTGAAATCGTAATAATGGGAATCTCTTCAAAGTCTAATTTATTTTTGGCAATTCAAAAGTGTAGAGCTTTTCTTATTTCTAGTATTTCATTGTGTGAGAGAAAGAAAAGTCTCATTTTTCTTGTCCTTATTTGCCTCCGATTTGTTCCATAAAAACGACTGACTCATCAACTTTATTTAACTGACCCTCTCAGCTCTTTCCCTTGAAAAAAAGGTCCAAGAAAATGGAAGAACTGGGTTCAATGTGCAATTATCAAGAGGTTGGTCTTTTTATTTCTGTTTTTTTCATCTGCCGAGTAATTCTTTTCCCGTCCCATTCTGAGGTGCATTTTGATCATTCATTTCCCTTTCCTTTATGAATTAATAGGACTTTGATCAACTGAAATTCAGTCTTCAATTCACCACAATTGAGCTAGAGTCTCTCAAAATTAAAGTAAATGAAGAGAAGAGAAAACACAGTGAAGAAATAAAGCATTTGTTGAGGCTGCTAAAGCTCGCTTACAAAGAAAGAGATGAAGCAAGAGAAGAGTTGCAGTTGTTGATGAGCGAGTTAGTCCCCCACCCCCACTCTGAAATTCCCATTGTAGTTGCAACAAAAGCCAACTCGGGCATCACCGATACCAGCAGCTTATCAGATGCATATAATCACCACCATCCACACGTCTGTTCTTGCCCGGGGGATTCCTTCTTTGACACTGTCACTTCACCGGATCTTTCAACCACGAAAATCGCTTCTGATTCATGCATGAGCATCGATTCTGAAGCAGCTGCAATTGATGATATAGCAAAGGGGAGAACTTTGCCCTAAAAGGGGAAGCTTTTGCAGGCTATATTGGAAGCTGGCCCTCTTCTTCAAACACTCATTGCTGCAGGAACCATCCTCCATTACAAGCTTTCAAAATCCCCCCTGTTTCCCTCAAAGGCGCTTGTGATGTCAAAACTGATTGCCGCAAATTGTGTGCCAATCCAAATACTACCGTGGCTCAGAAACGGGTGAACAGTAGTTCAGCATCCATTCATAAACAATTCATTGCAAATAATATAATATTTTAATGCAAATGGAACTGCAATAATGGGTTTTAGGGGAATGAAGGAAGAAAGAAAATGATGCTATCCATTCATAAACAATTCATTGCAAATAATATAATATTTTAATACAAATGGAACTGCAATAATGGGTTTTAGAGGAATGAAGGAAGAAAGAAAATGATGCTTAAGGAGCCCATAACAAATCATTCAGAAGAGAGCATACAGTTCATTTGCAGCATATAATTGAGCTTCTTTTGGCATGCTGTATTAGAAACAAACATAAAGATGGCTAAGAATAAGATCTTAAAAGTACAACTGAGAAGCAACTAATTATATTAAAACGCACCTGTAAAATATATGTATCCACCGTAAACTTTGAAAAACAACCTTCTGCATGCACCAAAAGTAAATCAGAAGTATAGAAGAAAGTATACTGATTCAGACATTTGCATCTTGTAGATTAGCAAAGTAAAAAAAGAGAAACATATCTCACATGTAAAGCGGGAGGTTGCTTTGCGTAATAACATTGTGGGACAGTGACTCTGGATCACCCTTAGCTGGTTCATCAGACCATGGAGAGCCAAATGTCTAGTAAAGATTTTCCGACGAATTCAAATTTAACCCAAGTGTTGTTAGATCAATTCCAAGAGCAAGAGAAGTCAGATCAGGATCACTCATCCTCAGCACACTTTGCAAACCAAGTAATCCAAATGGGTCAGGATTAGACTGTGCAGCCTGCATTGATTTCAACCCAGGTTCCCTAAATGACTGACTAACAGCTGACATCTGTTTAAGTCGGAACTGGGACTGGTTTTGATGCTGCTGATATTGCTGGATGAGCTGGTCATAACCCATACCAGAACCGAATTTGAGGAATTTAGAGGTCTTAGCCCAATCCCAGGTGGACCACTGGTCTGAACCAAAGATTAAACAGAATGTTAGGAGTAATTCGATGTAACATCTACCAAATAAGAGAATACATAGATAGAGAAATCAAATGCGTATATGATTGTCCAACATAGGAAGTCAAACCAATTTCTTCAATTATCAAAGGATCCCTCATTTCTCATGCTGTTACAAGAGGAGGTATTCTTCCAGTTTGACCAACAATGAATCTCAATTCAATCAAGCTACTGAAACACATTCCGAATTCGATAATTTTCAAATCAGATATGAATCTGTGTCCCATGCACTATTAGAGAAAGATGATATATATTTTCCTTCTACCCTCTATTAGCCCACTAGTTTACATTTGCTAGAAACCATTTACAGCACTAGATTACCACACCTGTGAGTGGTAGCTGGAATGTGAAGATGGGAAAATATCAGAGCCATGAAAATGAAGATCTTGGTTGTTTACGGGTGAAAAGGATACTCCACTGCCACTGGCTGATGGAGCATGTTGCTGCTGCGAGCGATGAGAAGAATATGATCCACCCAAGTTAAATCCTGCAGGCATCCCCATCTGTGCAAAATTGCACACAATTAGAGGCAATATATAATGAAGATGATAATCTACTTCTTCAGAAAGAAATACTCATAAAGATGCAATTATTCAAACATAAATATGAAGAAAATAAATTTCAGTTCTGAAAACATAGACTTAGAGACTCAGAGATGAGAGAAGTGCTGAGATTGCATCATTAACAAGGTATTGTCATGAAGTTGGTCTTTTTGGTGCAAATCCATTCCATAATCAGGATTACCAACTGTACAATATTGAATAATAAGGTCAAACACCTAATGACTTTAAAAACAAATAACACCATCAGAACTAGGAGGTATGCTATTAAATGCATGGATAAGGCTGCCAAAAATTCAGTAGACAGCTAAAACACAAGAATGTCTGAAAATTAAGTACAGACTTAAAACTGGATTCAGAAGTACATAAGAAGTAAGAAGGGAATAAATCATTGAGTTATGTCAACCAGAAAGAAAAAATACACTAAAACAAAATCCGGTCAGAGAACTTCGTGCACCTTTAAATCCTGGTAAAGCAGGGAAATCTTCATTTTGAATGCTGAACTCTTGGTTTTGTTGAACAATGGGACTTGGACCTTGTTTTCGTAATGAACCTTAAAATGTTTAACTTGAAATGTTAAAACCTCAGCAGCAGGAAAAAGACAAAATGGAAGATTTAGAAAGCATCTTTGTTCAGTTACCCAATTGTCCTTGAGGCCCTCCTGCAGAATTAGACCGACTTCTCAACTGAGGGAAGTCATTGTTTATGTCAAAAGGGGAATTGTCATTTGAGTTCACATCATTCAACATTCCCATAGAGCTAAGATTGTTCACAGCTTGAAGATGGCTCTGGGAAAGTGGGACCCCGGCAGTCGGATAAGAATTGCCTAACATTGACATTACCTGAGGAGATCCTGAACCAGAAAGGGTTATTCACAGGAACAATTACAACTAAACATGTATCCAGTATCAGCTAAGAAAAAGAATCAAGTTAACTTCTAACAATTACAAGTTAGAAGTGACTGGTGGAAGCCATGAAGAGCAATGCAAGAAATGAATCCAAAAACTCATCAAAAAATAAAAAGATCAAGGAAGCACAGCACTCATTAACCTATTATGCTTTCTGCTGCGTGCAGCACACATAAACAGTGATCTTCTTTTCAAGAGACATGCAGGGGTAATTGTTCACAATAACGTACCTTGAGGAAGCACCCCACTCATCAACCTATTCTGACCCTGCAGACTTAAACTTCCAGATCCACCATTGGCACTTAAATTCAGATGAGAAGCAAGAGCAGTTATAGATAATCCTTCAACAGAGCTTATGCTCCTTCAATGTTGCCCCCACCAACCATGTTCCCCATAGAACTTGTTATCATAGGACTTGTATTTCCCAAAATTGGGGAAACTTCCAACCCTGGAATAGCATTGCAGTTACAAATTACAGCAGAAGTTGGGAGAATTCCAGGTATAGCACCACCAACTCCATTTGTGTTACTACTAAATCCAGGGTTTCCTACAACACTAATGCCTCCTCTATTGGTTACACCAGAATGTCCATGCGAACTGCAATGAGATAACTGCAAAAGGGTGTCCAGAAAAAATGAAGTATGCATTACAAGAATGTTAGATTTCATTACCTTCAAATTTTCTTTCCATGTGTGTTTGTCCTAAAGATGAGAATGAAGGGAGAGAAAACATGTACAGATTCTACTACTGCAACCAAAGAAATCACATCATAATACAATGGGAATATTAGAAGTACCTGAGAAAGAGCAACAGGGAGATTATTTGATGCAAATCTTCCACCAGAAAGGTTCCCAGTAGGTTGTTGAATCCCACCAGTTGGAACATTACCTAACGTTGAGTTTCGTGAAGTGAGAGTAAAGCATGCTGGCAACATTAAAGTTACCATGAATACTATGCAGTCCCTAAATAGTTCCTGCAAAAACAAACAATAGAGTAGCATGAATTCAGCACATAGATAAGCAGATATCCAGTAAAATCTACCCACTGGTGTGATGGAATCCAGGGGAACCTGCGCCAGACTGACCAGAGAAAGATGTCGCAAAAGAACGTCCACTGCTCTGGAAGATTTGATGCTGATCCATTGACAAAAGACTGCAATTAGATGCAAGTTATAATTTCCAGGTAATAGATAGTTATGTGATTACAAAATATGATGAACAATCAACCAAGAAAAGGCTACAGAGAATCAGAGATAGACGATAAATGGAAGAAGATTTCTAAACATTTCACCACTAATGATCTATAAAGAAAAACTAGCATTTCAATCAATTGAATTTTAATGGTGCAGCAATGATCAGAAATCAACAAGTTAAACACACACACACACACACATATATATATCAGCATGGCAGAACATGTTGAAAACAAAACACATACAAAAAATTACAAACATATAAAAGCAACAGATCCAATATGCAAAATCTACAAATGAAAATAACCGATATTAGGTCTCCTCTACACAAAGAACTAAGTTCACTACTTCACCTACAGAAGCCACATACTTTCATTTAGACAAAAATAAATCCAAAATCTAGAATGATGTTAAAAAAGAGAACTCCAAATAATTATTCAGTTGAATTAACAATACATTAAGTAACCCCGACATTGCACAAGTGTCAATAGGTCATGCAAAAAATCATTCCTTGTTGGGAGGCAGCCTTCAATGTCTTGAGTATAAGTAGGCACAATCCTGATTTGAGAAGCTCCTAGAGTGATTATAGCCTGAAAAGAGCAACAAAATCGTAGGAAATTAAGCCCAAAGTGATCAAAAGGTGGAAATGAGTGAAACAAACCTAATGTTATCAGCAAAATCCACTCAAAATAGTTGACGCTAGTAGAAACATAACCTAATTTATTTCCTGCTAAGTAGGAAATGTTATTACACAGAGAAAGGATGTCCAGATAACATTTGCAACACTGCAAAAGGACTTTCACCATTCTTTCCCCAAATGAAGTGATACCAAAGTGTAAAAAAGGAAAACAAAGGCCCTATGGCATATATTTGAAACTCTGATGGCCATCAAAACTTCCTCTATAGTTCTCTGTACTGGAAGTTGAAATCAAGATAGTTTATTCTTTGGATTTAAAGACACTAGAAAAACAAGTAACTTAGAAAACTTATTTCTCGAGCTAGAATTCATCACGTCCAAATAACATCAATATCCACATTCCAAAGAACGAAAACTACCATACATGTCAGTTCAGTGGAGTTAATCGAAAGGGCGGTTTCCACATTTTTTACGGTTACTTTTCCGTAGTCAACGTGAAGCTTACAAGCAGTATCCATTCCCCGATTAAATCCTTACAAAAACTATTCGGAAAAAACAAACATAAAAATTGAAATTCACAAAAACTAAT